CTGCTACTACCACTACTACTACCACCACTACTACTCCCACTGCAACTGCTGCTGCTTACGGCTATTGCGCTACTGCTAATGCCAATGCTACTCCACTCCTACTGCGGCTGCCGCTGCCACTGCCGCTGGTACTGCAGATGCTGCTGCTCTATTACTACTATTGTGCTGCACGATGGCAGATGAGCTCGTGGCACGGCCGAATTGATTGCACGTCCCGCCCGCGAATGCTGGCAGCTTTCAGCCACACATACTTGCGGGTTGCAGAGCCAACGTAGAGACTATCCAGGCGTTTCAAGATTGTCCTGAGTCCTGAACCTTAGGTTTCGTGCTGTATTAAGCCTTCCTCATTTTACGACAATGGTACTGATGGTCGTTTTCTGAGCGTCCAGGGTGGGACCCAATTCAAGGACAAAAGCACTTCAGTTCAGGGATGACATGACTTTTGTACGCATCTATGCCTGCAACAAAACATTCAGACGTGAAGTCCTCAGCGTAAAACCCGGAACCCGTGTGGTGCACCGATGGCGTTGCCAGTGGTTGATGACGACGATGCCCGTGGTTCCTTCCACGGTGTCGTGGAGCTGAAGGTAAAATCTGCGCATGCTGACGGCGCAGCCCACAGCCTCCTTGCTTACTTAAGCGATGAGGAGCAGAAAGAATGGACGGCTACACAGGCCCGTGTCTGTCACATAATTTCTTGTGCAGTAGGAGTATACTTATCGAACCGGCAGCAGCAGTTTGTGCAACGAGCGAGCTTGCCGGCATGCAGATGGATATCAGTGCTCTTAATTGATGGAGAGTTAAGGAACAATTAAGGCAGCAGTTAAGGGACATTTAAGGAGCACTTAAGGAGCATTTAAGGAGCATTTACGGAGCATTTAAGGTACAATTAGGGAGCACTGGGGGCGATCGGAAGGGTCTGTGGGGCGCAGGTGGCGACTTTCCTTGGTCGCTCGCGCAGCGAGAAGGCGAGCCTGGAGCGGCTGCGAGACTCGTTGGAGGCAATCGAGGATTGCCATCGGCTAATATGGCCGGGCGTGGATCCGCCATTTCGACAGACCCGGTTTGGCCGTGGTAGGCCAGCCCCTGGACAGAAGCAATGGTTTGCAGAACGCACCATGACGACATCCATGGTGATGTCATACGTGCTGTTCTGCATTAGCCGCATCGTGTCTGGGCTTTGCAAGAGAGTCTTGTTTCTTTCGTTCTCAGAAGGCCCTGTGAGGGAATGTTTAAACTGTGGACTTGGGACGGGGTTATTTGGATCTCAAGCCTTGCCGGCCGGTCCAGGGCGACGAGTGGGTACTGGGAGGGAAAAGCATAGCTAGGCAACCGTTTGTTCGGAACCCAAACACAGTGTGAATCTGAATTCCGTGAGAAATCCAGTTGCTTCTGTTTTTTCGGCATCTGCAGGACCGCCACCTGCCGGACCGCGCCCACGCGTGCAAGGCCTTCGGCAACCTGCTGGCCAAACTCTGTGCCTGCACTGGCCCCCTTGCGCTGGCATTTCGAGTGCTGGAAGGAGGCATCGGACGCAGAAAAGCACCTAATTAAACAAAAGCCGCTAGGTTGGGATACCCCGTAGTCCCTCTTTTACATAAACTTGGGATTTGGGTGCTTTTTCGGTTCCTGAGAGGTGGCCATGAGGACCCGAACTGGGCCCACATATCTGTGGGTGTGGATTCGAAGATTGCAACGGAAATGTTGTGGACACAGACAGTCTACGACCAGTTTATCAAAGATGCATGGGCAAACGATCTGGCCGATGACTCCAAGCCATGGGTCACTTCGGCGATTGGCTCAATTTGCTTGGCCGAGCTGATTTGCTTCGGCTTGGACCCGAAGCACAGTCGTGCGCTCAGGCAGCTGCTGCTGCCAAACTGCCTGTGCCTGTTGAGCCAGCTGGCGCAGCATCTGGACACTCACGTGGAAGAGCTGGGAAAAAGTGGCGATGGCAGTGAGCGAATCAGCCGGCGGAAGAAGTTCACGGCCGTGGCGCTGATGGAGCGCTGCAAGATTGCGAGTCGGATGTGGAACGGCGAGGACGACGCGACAATTAAGGGGTAGTTAAGGGACCATTAAGGGGACATTAAGGAACAGTTAAGTCTTGACTAAGCGTTTGTATACAAACAAGAAACAGACCAGCAGGACCGTTTCCTGGCGAAGGCCATGAAAGCTGTGCTTGGTGATGCGGCCGCCAACATGACCCACTGGCAAGCAGCGCACAATGCAATGGCAGCATAGCTTGATTTCTACAGCAACAACTTTGTATTATTTTCAAGTAGTTATACAAATTAAATTTCAACGATCAATACTACTTGTCTCATATCCCAAGCATTGCAACTAAGTTCGTCTACTATTTCTATGCCCGCGAAAAGTTGATGAACACGAATGTGATTCATCTGTACATGGATGCATCGTCTGTGGCGAAGAAACTTGGTCCATACTGAGTGCTTCTTCAGGGGACCTGTTCCACAAAGGGACCATTGTGAAACAAATTGGATATTTTTCCTCCTTGGTAAGCCTACAACCCAGGAAGCCAACTGAACTGGTGTATTTGTGGAGCCCGGATCATCAACGAGGAGCGTTTGCTCCGCCACTTGTGCGGCCCTCAGACAAAGCTTGGAAGTTTGGACCTTCCGTGCCGTCACAAACATAACCACACAAGCCCGACCCCTCCCCCAAGACAATACCACCCACCACCCATGCCAGACCATACCACCCGCCACCCACCACACACCCAGCACCCACCACAGCATCCACCACACCACGCACCCCAGTTCTGTTTTGTAGTACTAAATTTGCAGTACTTGCCACTTAACTGTGCACTAACTGTACCTTAACTGCTCCTTAATTTTTCTTCTCAGCATGCTTGCTTCTTGGTCCTTGGTGTTTCAAAGCTGCTCTCGTCGGCCCTGATAAACAGAAGAACCCGCACTTCTATGCCAGCTTCATGCGCCTGTGGATATAGAAGTTTCTTTGCAAGCACACGCCCGTGGATGCTGCTTGTGCATTCGCCTGCTCAAAGACTCCAAAGGGACCTCATAGATCATTGAATGTAGTGAGCTGTACCTTGTGACGTAGTCCGGTGTCTGTGACAACTTTGTTTGTGCAGGCGAAGGTTCAGATGTGCAAGCATGTCCCTTTAACAAGTACTCACGAGAAGTTGTTTTTTCCCAGTTTTTTGAGCATGGCGACATGCATCGACGAACGAGATGTGGAGATGCACAGTGAATGCGACAGCGAAGCCCCCGCGTGGACACGATCATCGGCTACATCCTTACTTTCTGAAGACTTCGCCGAGGCACGCAACGAAAAATAATTTAATCGATCCCAAGAAGTTGCCGGGGGTTTGTACAATCACTGATGCAAGCTGTTTTAGTGTTTTCCACAGGAGAAGCAACAATGGCAGCACGAAGACATGCTCACCAAAAGTGGGCACTTCGCACAAGTTGCGTGGCGGGTCGTTGTGAACAAGCTTGGCGTGGATGCTATTGAGGCCCTTTGTTATGCTCCTCCAACAATATGCATCTAAATACACTAGATTGGGCCATTGTAGGCTAAAGGCTAAAGACAACATATAGTTTGAATTAGCTGTAGCTTAACTGTAGCTTAACTGTAGCTTAACTGTAGCTTAACTGTAGCTTAACTGTAGCTTAATTGTACCTAAAAAATGTCACGTTGCTGTGCTTGATTTTCTGCTGAGTCGCTCGCTTGCCATTGTTTCTTTGATTGAAGGCTTCGATGCTTCGGGCTGCAAAGACGGTATCTTCTACATGCACGGGAGCCTACACCAGCGAGATGGCTCTCGCTGTCATCGAGAAAACCGTGAACGATTCGGCCGTGCTTCCGACGACGATAGGTTTTCGGTCGGTGGCTGCATATGTGCTTCACTCGGAACGCTCGAAGCGATTTTGCAGAATGCAGATCACCGGTGCAGAGTCTAGATCGTTGAACTTTTGCAGCATGGTTGCAAACTTTCTTTGTTATACTATGTATGTCGCCTGAGGAGATAAAGAAGCAGTGCCGCCAAGTGATCATGGGCAACCACCTGTGGTGCCAGGATGTGACAGAACACAGCTCCTTGACACTCATATCATAAGCTTTTAGTTTGTTGCTCCTTGTGTGTGTGTGTCTGCGCAGATTGCACCGATACCGCGACAGTTCAGACATATCCTATTGAACCCCCCGGCGTGCTGCAGTGATCATCAAACTCTAAGGTTGTCCTCCCCCTTGTGTCTTCGGCGACGTGTGCAAATGCATCCCCGAGGGGACTCTGGATGGTTGTTCCGACTTCTCAGAGAAGTTGCGGGCAGTGGATGCAGCCTATTTTCAGCCGTGGCAGTTTTGCCACACATGCAACCGAGAATGCAACATTTTGGGGCCTGAGACCGCCTCTATGTTCGAAGTTGCTGGGCTTCCCTGCACAGATCACTCTAGAGCAGGGAAGCGAGCTGGGATGCAGGGAGCAACAGCTCCCGTGTTCATGGCCCACGCGAAAATCCATGTTCACAAGCAGACGCCTCTCATGATTATTGAGAACGTCGAGGCCAGCGAATGTTTATCGAAACTACGAGCAACAATAAGGACACAATAAGGACACAATAAGGACACAATAAGGACACAACAAGGACACAACAAGGACACAACAAGGATGCACTACACAAAGATTCGTATGTGCATGCGTAAATTCGATTCCACACACACGCACACATGTATGTATACACGGACTGTATATATGTACATGTACATGCACAGGTATACATGTTCTTCACGTGTGTGTGTGTGTGTATGCGTATGTGTGTGTGTGTGTGGATATGTGTATATATAGATATAGATATAGATATATATATATATGTGTGTCTGTGTGTGTTCGTCTCTGTGTGTTCTTGCTCTTCTGGCTGCCTTTGGAAGGCTTTGCACATGGGGATGATCAACAAGCTGTACGGGCGGCACTACGAGTATTTCCCGATTAGTGTGAAGCCGGCGGACGCGGGACACGCGGGGGCTTCGAGAAATAGGGTGTACATCATACTTGCCCATCGCGAGAAGGTTGTTCTCAGGTATGATCCCCAGGACCTCTATGACAGCATCACCAAGGCTGTTTCGAGGATGATTCGGACGGAGCCCCGAGACTACCTGATCGCGGATCACAGGCATCTTCGCCTGGAGTCGGAATATGTGGCACGGCTTCGCGGCAGAAGCTTTCGACCAAATGCGACTCGCCCTTGTGTAGAATCTGGCAGAAACCCAATGCAAATAGGGTCCTAGGTCGAGAAATTAAGGACCCATTAAGCGAACATTAACAGACACTTTGAGAACAATTAAGCGGCATTGAATGTGGTCATGGAAGTTGAAGTCAGTTGTAGGCCTGCTGTCTGGTCCGAGGCTCCTTCGTGGGTCTATTTTCTGAACGACAGGGAGAAGAAGGTTCTCAGCACGCTGAACAAAACCTACAAGACGAAGTTCAAGAAGCAGCCGACTGCAGAACATAACTTGGTTTTTTTCTTGGGTGATAGTGACAAGCGAACCACATGGAGCGCGACGTCTGGGCGGGTTCCGACGCTCCGTATGAACCGGGGCAAGCTCTTTCTGCCGTCGAAACGAAGATGGCTCTGTGCAGTGGAGAAATTGGCTACACTCGGTTTCCCCGTGGCCCCTGGGCAAGCCATGGCTATGGGGGTGCCGCAGCTGCCGGTCCTGGACATTCACAGGGCAAGCTTGATTGCCGGCAACTCTATGAATTTTGCTAATGTGTGCATTGTTCAGTTGGTAGCGCTCACATGTTTTGCTCCCCATGACTGTGTGTCCCTAGCTGACTTTGGCCTGTGGCTGAACGGCCCAGTTTGCTGCTAGGTTCAGTTGGACTAGCGAAGTAATTTGCCAGAGATGAGCTTCGGATGATCCGCCTGGGCGATGCCCATGCACACTTCCATAGTGCAGTGCAAAAGCTATCTCTGCCAGCTTGTTGTGCGACAAAGGACGTTGGACGTTAGAGACCTACATTGCAGGACTGCCACAAGTGAATGCAAAGTTCTATGTTCTTGCAGATTGCCCTCCTTCGGGCCCTCAGAAGTAGGGCATTTGCCGATCCCATGGGGAAGGAAGGTCGCAACATGGCTCCCAAGAAATCAAACACAGCTGCCAAGTCTGCAGCCGCCAAGAAAGTGATCAAGCCTACGTTGTCAGCCGCGAAGGCTGCCGGGCCCAAGCCCTCGAAGGGTGCCGGGCCCAAGCCCTCTACAACTACACCGAGCAAGAAGCAGAAAACGGGTGTTGATGGCGATTCCAAGTTGGTCAAGCCCGAGCACCGCATCGAAGGATCCGATGAAGACAGCTGTGAGCCCCTCGTGTTATGTTCGATCTTTGTTGTTTTTTGCGTTGATGTGAATGAACATTGTAGATTGAAGATTCTGAGATTGCCAAGGTGGCCCGACGGCAGTCCTGGCTTGGGTTCCAGGAGTCAGTCCGGAACGAGACGTAGTTTCAAGGAGCAGTACGCGCGTCAGAAGACCCTCGCTGATTTCATTGATTGCCATGTGGCGGGATGGCTGAGCTCGGTCGAGCCGACGCATTGCGCTCAGCAGGACATGGAGAAGTTGAGCCGCAGGACGCTTTTCGCTTTGCTGGCATTCTGCTCAGGATGGACTCCTGGCACTCGTAAGCCCGCGGAAGACAAGCAAGGCATGATCAAAGCCCTCGCCAGTGCGTACAAAAAGCGAGGTTCCCCCCTGCGGGTAACTGGCTGGAATGGTACGAAGGTTCTGGCCTACATCAAATGGCAGTGCGCGATGCTCCAGGCCGGTCGTTTGAACCGCGATGCCTGGGGAGGCTTTGGCTACGACCTCCCGAAGATGGGCGAAGATGGCGCACCGGCAGCGCTGCCGGAGGCGGTGTTGCACTATGTCGAATCAGGAGAGCTCCAGTCGAGCCCTCAGTTTCGAAACGAACACATGGGGTATCCTTTCAGGTTCTGCGCTGCTAGGTTGCGAGGAGTGAACAGCCAGGGGCAACATTAAGGGCACATCAAGGGCACATTAAGGGCACATTAAGGGCACATTAAGCAACAGCGACAGCTTCTGAAAAGATCACGTGTGGGGGCATTTAACAGGCAGCATGAAGCAACGTAGGGGACAAATATCAGCACGGCTCTATTATGTTCTATTACTATTCTTTGATATATGTATTCGAAATCGCTGTGAAAGCAGAAAAAACATTGGCAATGTCTGGGGAAACCAATTTCTTGACCGAGGCCGGCAGAGGCAGTGGCAAAGCCAGGTGTGAAGAAGCACCACGCCAAAGACGTCGCTGGGCTGCTCTGTACTTGTGCTCTGTACTTGTGCTCTGTGCTTGTGCTTGTGCTTGTTTTTGTGTGGGTGGCTGCGGGGCCAGGGGGGGCTTAAATTGTTTCAACCCAAACCCCAAACGAGCGATTCGCTGGGTCCTTTTGGGGGGGCTGGGAGGCCAAACTGTATTTTGCCAGATTTTCACAGCATCTGGCACAATTCATGTTGGGCACAAACAACACACACCCCCCCCCCC